ATTTCTAAAGAAAATATTCATCTTTAGTTTATTTTTCAAGTCATAGACATTGAATTTTTCATCTCTCTTCACTCCTCTACTCCTTGTTTATTTTCCCCTAGAGGAAAAGTCTGGAGAAAGAGAAATGGAGGTGAAGTGGAATTTTTCATGATCTCAGATACATTGGTACTTACCCACATAAGACTTACAGAAAACCTCCAAAGAACATGCATTTCATTGTATGTATGTGTATTAGACAGTAAATGCAAGACAACCAACTCAAGTTCCCTCTGTCAAAATACAGAATGTCAGAGGACATTTTCCAGACTGAAATCATTCACTATTACCTTCTTTGCAGTGGCACCGCATGAGTAAACTTATCACCAAGAATTCTATAATAACCTAGAAGTGATGCACTCCCAACTGAGTAAACTCATAAACTGAAAAAATTTCAAAAAATAAGCAACCATCTTTATTGTTTGTAATTCACATTTCTATCATGTCTATTTTAGACTTTTTAATAATTGTATTGTTTATTTTCTTGAATGATTGAAACAACAGTTGAAATAAAATTTGTTGTCTTATTTTTATCAGTTGGACCATAACTTGTGGATAAGGTCCTAACTGGCTGCTCCCTAAACCTTACCTTTGGCTGAAAACCCTGATTAATGCTGCAGGCCCTAAAATCTGTTGACATGATGCATTTAGTGCCAGGTCTCCCAACACAGCTGCTTTGTTGCTTGGCTGAAAACCAAACAAGTCTCTGGCAACTGACTCCATCAGAATTAAGGAATTGGACCACTTGAACATTCTCTGCTCCCACCTCTCTGTTAATACTCATGTTTTTTTTTTTTTTTTTTTTTGCTAGAACTTTGTCTAGGGGATAAAATCAATGGGAAAAAATAGAAAGTGATAAACAAAATTTCCCTTTATCATCCTACTTTGATGGTTACTCCTCCCAAAAACCTTCAAACACATCGAACCTCCTCCTTACTGCATTTCCTAGTGCTTCTACCATTGAAATACAACCAACCATACTATATTACTCTATTTACATTCTGAAAATTGATGAGGTTTACTTTCAGGATTTTTCAAGCAAATGAATGCTGATATTATAAGATAATATGTCAGGCTCCAAGGATTAATTTCAAATATAATGTGAATCCCTTTCTCCCTGCTCTCTTGTTTACTGCAAAAATGTACTTCAATCATTCGCACAGATAAACTTTTCAACCAGTCCAAGCTTGGACTCAAGTGTCCTGTTGGCCTCTCACGTACTCACAGCATAGGGCCTCCATGGGAGAAAGCCACCTGCCAGTAACTCTCAGATGCACTCAGGGAAGCAGCATGTACTTGCACTGTAATGATGCAATGATATTCCTCAGTTATGACAACCAGAATTTGATGAAGAACATACGTGGTTCATTTTATTATTGTGTGCAGAACACACAAGGGCATTGGAATTTGTCTCACATATAATAAAACTAATGTTAAATAATTATTTGAAATATATGGCTTAGTGATTCCCCTACACTCTCATACCCCAACAGACTGAAGAAATTATTTCTCTGCAAAAAATGTGTAAAGGAATTATTCCTTTGAACTTAGTATATAATTTTTGTTTATAGTTTCCCACATCTTAACTTAGCAAATAATGAATAAAGCCTATAATATTCAAAGCAGGATTTTGACATCTTTGATATGAATCTGCTAGGACAAGAGAAATTTCTTAAGAAAGGTTTTAGTTAGCTTCTGAAAGAGTTAGAAATATTAACCAGTTTTCCATTCAATTTTTAATCATTATTCATTGAATGCTCACTATCCAGATATAAGGGTAAGTGAAAAGCATATGGTGATGAATAATAATGGTAAACAATTGATAATTATTAATACCTTCAGTCTACACCAAGTTTTTGGTGGCAGTCATAATTGAATGCAGAACCAAATATAGGAAATAGAAAAAAAAATTGTCACTGGGTTTTTGCATATTTAAAGAGTGCATGTAAAGCTTCAAGCATCATTTAAAGAGTCATATATATGAATTAGATTTTTTCTGTATTTCTATTGTGTTTTTCATTTTTGTGCTTAGTTGGAAATTGCATAGAATTAATGAATTCTGAGACAAGAAACCAAGCCATTCTTATATTTCTTGAACTTATTGTTCTGGTGAATATTTCATTTTAGTGTTTATTTTTAAAAATTAATTATTTATTTGAAGGAGTTACAGAGAGAGAGGGAGAGAGAAGAGAGAGAGAGAAAGACAGACCAAGACATTGAAAGACATCTTCTATGCATTGATTCACTCCCCAGATGGCTATTGCCAGCTATGGTCCAGGCCAAAGCTAGGAGCCAGGACCTTCTTTCAGCCATGCCACATGGAGAGCAGGGGCAAAGCACTTGAGTCATCTTCTGCTGATCTTCCCAGGCCATTAGTGGGGAGTTAGATTGGATGTTGAGTAAGCTGGTTCAAGAACTTGTTCCCATATGGAATGCTGGCATCTCAGGCAGCAGCCTTACCCATGACACCATAATGCCAGCCCTCCATTTCACCACTTTGTATTTTAAATAATTATAAATCTTATAAATCAATCTTCTGTCTATAAAGATAATTGAAAATGAATCTTCATGTGAATGGAATGGCAGCGGGAGCAGGAGATGTGAGGGGTGTGGGTGGGAAGGAAGTTATGGGGGAAAAGCCATTGTAATCCATAAACTGTACTTTGGACATTTATATTTACTAAATAAAAGTTAAAAAAACAAAAATTATAAATCTATAAGACTTCTCCTGGAAGTGTGTTTTTAAAATGTCATGATAATGCCACACTTCTCATGTATATTCTGATATACATATATATATAAAGTCAAATAACATAAAATAAACTGGCTTGCTATAAATACATCTACTTCTCTATCACAATTGTCCGATATGCTTTAAATAGGGCTTTATAAAGCTAAAATTTTTGTAATATTCTATTATGTTCTTCCTTAGAAATATTAGAAATGAGAATTTAAACTAAATGCCTTTCAACATATGTGTCTTATGACATTTACCAACAAAAATACCTCTATGGATTTCTCATGTTTCTCTCCCTGTTGAAATGAATTTGGTAAAAGAATCATTGCCTGAAAGACTTAAATTAAAAGCCAGCAAATAGCAGAAGACATACTGTTTACATTTTATATATTTATGTATATATAGATATATATTTATATAGAATGATTTAAGGTGGAACTGAAAAATTTGTGGGCACTAAGAGCAGAATTGAAGTGACATTTTGAGGTTACATTGAGGTATTATACAATTAACTAGGAACCAATTGCTTCAACTTCTCATTTAGGGAATTTGATGCTTTTGTGTCCTTAGAAGTAAACTATGAGATGATGTTTATATATTTGCTTTTTTTTTTTTTTGGCAGGCAGAGTTAGACAGTGAGGGAGAGAGACAGAGAGAAAGGTCTTCCTTCCATTGGTTCACCCCACAAATGGTTGCTATGGCCAGTGCACTGTGCCAATCTGAAGCCAGGAGCCAGGTGCTTCCCCCTGGTCACCCTTGTGGGTGTAGGGCCCAAGCACTTGGGCCATAATTCACTGCCTTCCCAGGCAACAGCAGAGAGCTGGACTGGAAGAGGAGCAACCAGGACAGAATCCGGCGCCCCCACCAGGACTAGAACCCGGGGTGCCTGCACTGCAGGCAGAGACTTAGCCTAGTGAGCTGTGGTGCCAGTCAACATATATTTGATTTTTAATTCACAAAAACATAAAATAAGTTTCAAAAATTATATCACAAAAAGCACTTACTTAAACTACTTTCAAGTTTTAAGTTTTTGCTCAAAGTATTTCCAAATCTTGATACTTTTTCAAAAGTGTATTGAATAATATTTGGATTTTCAGACTTAAATAACATTTTCAACTTACAATATTATGACTTCTCAAACATTTTCAGCTTCATAGAAATTTAATGTACAGTTTAGTGAGTTTGATTACTCTGTGTTTCGCAGCAACTAGTAAGAACTGTTGGCAGGGGCAACCACTGCACTTCAAGTAAATTGGTGGTTACTGTCTCCACCTTGTCATCAGGTAAACACCAGCTCCTCCATGCTCAACCTGCAATAGGCTTGGAGGAGAATCTATTGCAACCAAAGGGAAATGTTGCCAGTTGGGACACTTGTACACACCCAGCACAACTATGAAAGGAGTGGGGCTGTGGCTGGCAGGTATTGTACATGCATGTCACTCAAGGATTTTGCCAGAGGGAAACATTCACATTCCCCACTGACTTTCAGTCTGGCTGAGAGGCTCCATCTGCCAGGGTAGAATACATGGGCTGTGGCTCCAGGAACTCCTCAGTCATTGTGTGGACAGAACACGCTAGTGGGGCAGAGTGTACCCTCTGGCAGTCCTTGAACATGGGAACCCTGGGTGCTGAGACTGTGAAAGCACTGTGACTGCCTGGGAGGAGGCAAGGTGTAGCCTGGGTCTGGGCAAGCTCTGGATGCAGAGTCACACTCTCAGAATTCTTTGGTTGCCAGGGCAGATCTCTGTAGCAGGAATCATGCTCATAGAGAGGACTATGCAGATCATTTGTGTGGTTCATCCAGAAGTGCAGATGAGTGTTGAAGACACTGGGGACAAACACCTGGGCATTACTCAGCTTGGAGGAAAGGAGGTGAGAGGCTGATCACACCAACACATGTGACCATCTTCTGCCCTAGCAATCTTTTCTAGGATGAAAGCATAGCTGTACTCTGTGCTCAACCACTATGATGAGATGAAGAGGCTATATCAGATTTGGAAGAATTTGGAAGGTTGTGTCTCTTAGGTGAGACCATTAGCAGTTAGAGCTGGGTCAGGAGAATTGGGAAAAGGAGACATTTGGCAAGGCATTTACTTGTGTGGCAAACTTCATTGATTATTTAATAGACCATGGATAAGCAGGTTAATTAGCAAGATTTTAATTAACAAGTTCCAGGATTATTTTCCAACTTCCCGAGGGAAACCGATCTCTTCCTATTTATTCCCAGAGGTTTCCTAGCCTGCTTAAACGAACCACACAAGATGAATTGAAATTCAATCTTCTATTATAACTGGAAAAACAGCAAGAAAATGCAGAAACACAGTACTACTCCTTATGATAACAGCAAATATTCTTTGACCTCCTTCTTGATGTCAGTATTCTGGGTGCCCTGAAGGTAATTATTTATTTATTCTTTAAAACAGCTTTAGGAGTCAGATGCTATGTATCTCCATCTACAATTGAGGAAACTGAGCTACAGGGTTGTTAAGCAAAGCTCCCTTCATCTCACAAGCAAGAAGTATATATATATATATATATTATATATATATATAATATATATCTCCTGTGAAAACTTTATTATGTATATATCATAAAATAAATATGTATATAAGTATATCTATATATAATATATATACGCCTATACAATATTTTCCAAAAAAGTTTGCATGCTTTCTTATCATACTGTCATTTAAAAAGTCAGTGTAAATCAGTGTATTTACTTTCTTTTTCTTTTGGAACAGTAAAAACACCCAAAGATTATTTTTTTTGACAGGCAGAGTGGACAGTGAGAGAGAGAGAGAGAGACAGAGAGAAAGGTCTTCCTTTTGCCGTTTGTTCACCCTCCAATGGCCACTGTGGCCAGCGGGCTGTGGCCGGCGCATTGCGCTGTTCCGAAGGCAGGAGCCAGGTGCTTCTCCTGGTCTCCCATGTGGGTGCAGGGCCCAAGGACTTGGTCCATCCTCCACTGCACTCCCTGGCCACAGCAGAGAGCTGGCCTGGAAGAGGGGCAACCGGATCAGAACCCAGCGCCCCGACCGGGACTAGAACCCCGTGTGCCGGTGGAGCAAGGCGGAGGATTAGCCTATTGAGCCACGACGCCAGCCCCAAAGATTTTTTTTAATTAACCTAGTACTAAGTTCTTAAACTTAGCTGAGAATTTGGAAATTCGAACTTGGCTATCACTGAGTTATTATGATTTATAGCATAACATTTCATGAAATTAGAGCCTTTGAAAGATCTTCATTATTATCATTCCATTAGTTGAATACAATTGTATAGATATCCTTTAAACTTTATTTAATAATTTTTATTTAATTAATTTGAGAGACAAAGACAGAGGGATTGTCCACCTGCTGGTTCACTTTCCAAATTCTCACAAGACCCAGGCTGAAGTCAGGAGGTTGACACTCAATCCAGGTGGCAGGGACTCAGGGGCTTGAGCCATCACAGGCTCCCTCCCTAGGTGTGCATGAGCAGGAAGATGGAATCGGGAGAGGAATTATACTTCAACACAGGTATTCTGATAAGGGATTTACACATCCCAGGTGACATTTTAACCACTTTACCAAGGGTCTCCACCTTCTTTTCTTTTTTTTAACTTCTGTTTCTTTCATAGCTACAATGATGCCTAGGAAATAGCATACACTCAATGTTACTAACTTTGAATTTTGCCTTTAGATAAATTTATCTGGACTGTATTCCCAGAGTGTATTCATGACAACAAATGAATTTTTCACATATTGATCTTTAAAAGTTCATGAGAAGGAAAAAGAAAAGAAGTGGACAGAAGAAAAAATTAAGAGGGAGTCAGCTACAATCAAATTTACAGTTATCACTGTAAAAGGCTACTTAAGTTTCTTTTGCAAGAAGAATGTTAACATGTAGAAATACAGATTTTGAAACATATACACCCACAAGGGAGTGGCAAATAGCTGCTTTTGACATTACATAGATCCACGGCCGGCGCTGTGGCTCACTAGGCTAATCCTCCAGGGTACGGCAGCACTGGTACCCTGGGTTCTAGTCCTGGTTAGTGTCGCTCCCCCATTCGCAGAGGAATGACACAGGACCCTGCGCTGTTCTTTTGTCTGCTCGGCCCTTCCCGGGTTTGCTGCTGGTCCTTCCCGGGTTGGCTGCTGACCCCTCCACCTCCGTGGAGGGGCGGCTCCCCCTGCCACCTTCCCCGCTTCTGCGGAGAAGCGGCACACCGCCGGCCAGCTCTCTTGGGGGCTGCTCAGGTGTTCCTTCAGGTGTTCCCTTTAGATGTTCCCGGTGCATGTTGTCTCTCTCCTCCTTTATAGTCCTCTTTCACCAATCCCAACTCTGCTGCCCACACGCCGAGCACGCTGCTCTCCTCCAATCAGGAGCAGCTCCTGCAGATTATTGGTTGAACTGGAGGCAGCTGTGTAGAAGCTGTTTCCTCCTCTCCCAGCGCCATATTGTGGGAGAGCAGATGCACAGAATAAGTCTTAATTCCAGTAACTTAGTCTAGTCTCAGTTGCTCCCCAAAGTTAGGGTGCCGGATTCTGTCCCAGTTGCTGCTCTTCCAGTCCAGCTCTCTGCTGTGTCCTGGGAGTGCAGTGGAGGATGGCCCAAGTCCTTGGGCCCTGCACCCTCATGGGAGACCAGGAGGAAGCTCCTGGCTCCTAGCTTCGGACTGGGGCAGTGCGCCAGCTGTGGCGGCCATTTGTGGGGTGAACTAATGGAAGGAAGACCTTTCTCTCTGTCTCTCTCTCTCTCTCTCTCACTGTCTAACTCTACCTGTCAAAAAAAAAAAAAGATATTACATAGATCCTTGTCAACTTTATCAAGTCATGTAATTAAATAGCTAGCTAGTATTTATTAAACCCCAAATATGTAAACTGAGGAGGTTATATCTTCTACATTAAACAAAATGATCTCTATTAGACAAACAAGACAGCCTGCTCATGAAGGTTCCTCTGAATTTTTTAAAGATTTATTTATTTATTTGAAAGTGTTACAGAGAGGCAGAGGCAGAGGCAGAGAGAGAGAGAGAGAGGTCTTCCATCTGCTGGTTCACTGCCCAGATGGCCACAATGGCTGGAGATGTGCCAATCCTAACCCAGGAGCCAAGGCCTTCTTTCAATTCTCCCACATGGGTGCAGGGTCTCAAAGACTTGGGTCATATTCTACTGATTTTCCAGGCCATAGCAGAGAGCTAGATCAGAAGTGGAGCAGCTGGGACTTGAACCGGCACCCATGTGGGATGCTGGCACTGCAGGTGGCAACTTTACCTGCCAGGCCACAGTGCTGGTCCTGCCTTCTGATTTTTATTCAAAGTACCTCTTTTGGAGATGTCCAAAGGTCTCTCAAAATGGCCATTGCAATTTTAAGTTGTCCCTGGTGAAACTGTGCCAGAGGATAAATGCACACATTACCGTGGTGGTGGGAAACATGAAGGAAGCAGGTGTTTAGGGTGGAAAGTGTGGGGAGCAACTGGGAGCAACTTGGACTAGACTAAGTTACTGGAATTAAGACTTATTCTATGCATCTGCTCTCCCACAATATGGCGCTGGGAGAGGAGGAAACAGCTTCTACACAGCTGCCTCCAGTTCAACCAATAAACTGTAGGACCTGCTCCTGATTGGAGGAGAGCAGCGTGCTCGGCGTGTGGGCAGCAGAGTTGGGATTGGTGGAAGAGGACTATAAAGGAGGAGAGAGACAACATGCACGAGGAACATCTAAGAGGAACACCTGTGCAGCCCCCGAGAGAGCCGGCCGGCGGTGTGCCGCTCCCCCGCGGAAGTGGGGAAAGTGGCAGGGGGAACCGCCCTTCCACGGAGGTGGAAGGGACGGTAGCCAACCCGGGAAGAACCAGCAGCAAACCCGGGGAGGGCCGAGCAGAAAAAAGAACAGCGCAGGGTCCTGTGTCGTTCCTCCACGAAGACGGGGAGTGACAGGAAAGCATGTGTTGTTAGCCTGAAAAAGCCCCATGGGAACTCAAAAATCTGTAAAGATGGTGAACTTTCTATCTGCACAGTTTGACCAAAGGGCAAACATCTGACCAGGAGTAAGCCAAAACCCTCTGAGTCTGGGTAGATCAAGTGAAAGAAAGAGGTCTCAGGGACACAAGGACAGTATTCAGAAGTCAGGACATCAGTCTTAGGAGACCTTATAAACTTATCTATCCCCTGGAGGTAGCTCAAGGAGAAGGTTACTGAACCCATTCCTATCCAAGCCCAACAGAATTTTCCTCTTATAAACAAACATAAAAACATTAGATGAGCAGAAAGATCATAGGAATATGTGTTAGTGTTAGAAATCCATTTCTCCAAGAAGCAGATCAATGAAATACCTTCCTAGAAAAACCAAACCCAGACTGATGGGCTTTAGTGAAATATCAGAATTCAGTTCCAAGCTACTAGTAGGGAGCTGGATCAGATGTGGAACAATCAGGACTCAAAATGGCACCCAAATGATAGCTGGTGACAAAACCACTAAGCCACAATGATGGCCCCATTAAGGCAAATCTTCATGTCAACTAATGAAAAAAATCATTTTATTATCCAATTTCCCTTGGACAAACACAATCACTGTTAATCCCATACTACATGAGTTAGGGATGCTACAGCCATTTCACATATGAATGAACAGGCTTCAGCAGCTCACTGCTAGCACTTAAAGAGTTATAATTCAAATACCATTCTTCTAAGCCCAACTCAAATCGTTCTCCCTTCTATACAAGGATATTGTATTAGAAGATCACAAAGCAATGTGCAAAATGTGCTAAATCATGTACTATGAACATTTAGACAACAAATACATCAGAGAAGGGAGTTAGAGAAATTGTTTTTAGGTACAAGATTCCTTGGCTTGCTTCCTGAAAACCCAGGAACACCCACTCTCTCTAAATCTCTGTCTCCCAAATAGTTAAAAAAAAAAAAAAAAAAGACAAAAAGTAAGGGGAAGGCAACATTTGGATATACAGTTAAAATACTGTTCTTAACCTAATCACAATAAAAATCCCAAAGCATATTCTAATTAAATTTATATAGATTAAAAAATTGCACAGGTTTACAAATTCATCTCAAATAATAATCATTATTTCCAAGAGAATCCTGAAAGGGAAAAAAAGAGGTGGGAGTTTTCTAACTGTAATGGATTTTAAAATATTGTCCATTTAAAAATTTTAATATTTTCTTTCCTTTCACGTTATTTTAATGGCAGAGAGTGACAGAGACAGAGAGACAGATCATCCTGTCACTGGTCCATTCCCAAAGTGGCAGCAACAACTGGGAATGGGTCAGGAAAAATAGGAGCCTAGACTTGATCCAAGCACCGAGGCAGTCCTATGTGGGATGTGGACATGCCACGTGGTATCCTAATCAATGTTTCAAACACTCACACCAACATCCTGCATACTTCAGAGGTGAGTGAGTTAAGGTGCACTGATAATCTGGGCTGTCACCTTTTCCTGGGGCAGGCTGAGCAGGCTGCACCACCTGAGCATGTGCTCAGGCTGTCCATGGGCCACTAGCCCTGTGCTCTGCTTTCCTGGCCAGTGGCCTCGGATACCAAGAGCCAGGTCCAAGATGAATGGATTTTTCACTAGGAGAGCTGTGCTGGCTCTTCTGCTGTCCGCCCTGATGAACCACAGCACCGCCAAAATAGCTTTCCTGAAGCCGGAGCCTACCTACACGGTGCTTGCTCTCTCAGGAGGCCGCTGTGGCCCTAGCCTCTGCCACCAGTAGTCATTGAGGGCCCAGGCTGGGCTCCTGGTGCTTGCACAAACTGCACATGAGTGAGCGCGCGACTGGCAGTACCAGGCACAACTGGCAGGGTTGCATGTCTGTGCACTGCATGCCCTGCAGCCTCTACTAGCTGTTCTCTAACAGTAACACAGAGGAACTGGGCTGGACGAGCAGCTTTTCTGACGGCTCCATCTTGTGCATCAGGTACATCTAGGGATACTCAGGCTACAGCTTGAGCCCAGGGCAATCCTCCAAGAAGAACCTTTAGAGAGAAGGATTTTAAGAGTTTACTTTAGATGAGGCCTTCGGCTTCCTGAAATTGCACTCCACTGTAGTCCTGGTCCAGTGCAGACTTCTTTCCCACAGGCATCAGTGTTACTGGTCATTATAGGAACTACAATTATACTTATATTTATAATTATATATTATAGTTTATAATTCATAATATTTTATTATAATTTATAATATTTGCATTATTCATACAATATATTTATACAATATTTATATAACATTATATATTATATATAATTTATATAATAAAATAAAATTATATAAAATATTTATATATTTATATGAATTTATATATTTATAAATTTAATATATAAATTTATATTTATATATTCATAAAAATTTATATTTATATTATTTATATGATATATTTATATATTTATATAATATATGTAATTGGTATTATTACAAAATTATAATATAATTTATAAATTATTTATATAATTTATATGTTAATATATAAATTATGTATATTATATATAATATATGTATTTTATATATAAAATATTATGTATATGTATATGTATATATAAAATATTATGTATATGTAAATAATTATAATGTTATATAAATTTATAAATTTATATTTATATATTCATATTTATATTATTTATATAATGTGTTTATATGTTATATAATATTTATATAATATAATATATATAATTAATATAATTATGTAATTATAATATTATATGTATATTGTATAATATATAATTATATAATATATTGTATAATAATTATGTAATATGTATTATAAATATATAATATAATGTATTATATATTATATAATAATTATATGTAATTGTAATATAATATATTTATATCATAATATAACTTATAGTAATTGTATATTATAGTTTATAATTTACATTTGGAAACAACATAATCCATCCTGTTTGAGAGATAGAAACTGTAAGTGCACACGGAGCACCCATTGCCTCCAAACTTCTGTGCGCACGCTCAGCCATTGACCGCTAGAGGGCGCGTGCGCACTTGTGTTCTGGAGCGTTGCTTGGTTACAGAGATTGTGCACTCAGGTGGAAAAGCCTTGTTGGGAGGTCGACTGGAAACCAGTCCTTCATCTACAGGGTTATCCTTAGGCTTGAGAGGCGGTGAGAGTGGCCAGAAGTCTCGGCTATGAAGGTTTTACTTTCCCATTTCAGAAGGGCGAGTTTCTCTTCAGCTCCTCCATCAGGTGTGAAAATGACAAATAGGATTAAATCACTGGTTACCACAAAGCTGCCAAGGCTGGTGAAGAAGACCAAGAGCCATCGCTCCTGTTGCTTATCAAAAGTGGTGTAGATGGTGGAGGCAAGAACAGGTAACAGGGAGTGCAAGTTGGGTGTGAGGGGCGGGTGGTGAAGGCTGGGGCTGATCGGACTTACTTTCTGGGACTCACAAGCTGCAGGGCCTGCTGTAACCTGGGATGCTGGGCTTCTTGCCCTCTGCAGTTCCTCAGCACCTAATTGCCTTTTCCTCAGGATCACTTTGGCTATCCGCTGGCTATGGTTCTATATGAATTTTAGCATTGTTTCCTCTAATTAGTAAAAATGTCATTGTTATTTCGATAGGGATTGCATTGAACCTGTAAAATGCTTGGGAGACTATGGACTTTTAATGACATTAATTCTTACAATTCATTCTGTGATTTTGATAGTTTCTTTCATCAAGATTTCATATTTTCCATTGTGTAACTCTTTCAATTATTTGGTTAAATTTATTCTTAAGTATATAATTTTTGTAGCTATTATGAATATGATTTCTCTATAAATAAACCACTGCTTTCATATGTTGATTTTGTGTCTTATGCCTTTATAAAAGTTTATACAAATCTTTTCCCTATGCTTAAATGCTATTAGAAAAACCATAGTGGGTAGATCCAAATATGATATCCATTTCTTTCTGATACTATTCCTTCTTAGAAGTCTTTCTAAGACTTCTTTTTATAATACTTTTTCTTGTTTTCTCAAAGTGATTTATTTGAATTGATAGAGAGAGAGAGATCATTTCTATCTGCTGGTTAACTCCCCAGGTGCCTCCAACAGCTAAGTGTGGGCCACACTGAAGCCAGAACCTCAAACTCAATCCAGGTCTCCCACATGGATGGCAGGAACTCAAGTACTTAAATCATTATCTACTTCATTCCCAGTTACATATCAAGAAGCTGGGTTGGAATCAGAATTTCTAGGACTCAAAATGGCACTCTGACATGGGATGTAGTTGTCTAGTGGTGGATTAGTCTGCTACATCATAATGCCTGCCCCAACTTGTCCTTCTTTAACTGCTTCAAACATTTGGAATTCTCTCTTGCTATTGCTTTTAGTTGTTGAATATTCATGAGTTACATGTATTTAATTCATGAATGTGTATGTATTTAACATTAATGGTACACATTTTTTCATGAATGATTAACTACATTTTATAGACATGATATCTGCATTAGGATTAGGAGAAGAGGGAGATAATCACCTGGGAATTCTGAGAACTGTCCATTGCTACTTACTTTTTTATTTTTATTTTTTAAAGATTTATTTATTTATTTGAAAACCAGAGTTACACAGAGAGAGGAGGAGAGGCAGAGAGAGAGATAGAGATAGAGAGAGAGGTCTTCCATCCAATGGTTCACTCCCCAGATGGCTGCAATGGCCGGAGCTACACTGATCCAAAGCCAGGAGCTTCTTCCAGGTCTCCCACATGGGTGCAGGGGCTCAGGGACTTGGGCCATCTTCTACTGTTTTCCCAGGCCATAGCAGAGAGCTGGATCAAAAGTGGAGCAGCCAGGTCTTGAACCAGCACCCATATGGGATGCTGGCGCTTCAGGCCAGGGCATTAATCCACTGCGCCACAGCACCAACCCTGCTAATTACATTTTTAAACATATTTTTATTGATGTTGAAACATAAAATATACTTCTTTTCTTTTCTTTCCTTTTTTAAAATATTATTTTAGATTGGTGAGATAGAGGCAGAGAGATGTCCCATCTAACAGTTCTTACCAAAAATGACTTCATTGGCCAATGCTGTCCCAGGATACAGTCAGGAGCCAGGAGACCAGTCTTGGTCTGCCATATGTGCAGCAAGGAATCAACTACTTCAGCAATCACCTGCTCACTCCCAAAGAGCACAATAACAAGAATTTGCCATCCGGAGCCCCTTGCAGGAATCAAATCCAGGTTTTCTGACTTGGGATGAAGCCATACTACTGGGATTCTTAGCTATTGGCCAGATGCCAACAAATATGATACTCAGACTTGACTTATTCAACTCCATATATGGCCATAGGACTTTTTAAAAATTTACAATTATCTATAATTAGTAATATAATTATATGCTAACTGTATTACTTATGCATAGTAAAGTTCTACGAATATGAATGATTCATTTTATTTAAGTCAGTATAGTATAGCATAAAATATTTCCTAAAGCTTATAGTGAAATGATCATTTGGGGTTCTAAAACTAAGTGCATCTAAAACCCAAAGATTAGGGCTGGCACTGTGACCACCAATGCCAACAGCCCATGTAGGCACTGTTTCATGTCCCAGCTACTCCACTTCCAATCCAACTCCCTACCAATGGCCTGGGAAAGCAACAGAAAATGGTCTAGGTGTTTGGGCCCCATGTTTGAAACTGGAAGAAGCTCCTGACTCCTGGCTTAGCCCTGGCTATTGTGACCATCTGGAGAGTAAACCAGCTGGTGAAAGATCTTTCTATATCACTCCCTCCATCACTGTATCTCTGACTTTCAAAGAAATAAAATCTAATTTAAAAAAAAGACCCAAAGATTACTCCAATTCATCATATGGCCAAATATTATTCTATATTATATATGTATGTATATATGGATGTAAATGTCGTGATGAGGATTAAAGAAAAATAGGTTGAATTATATTTTTTACAGCTTGGAACTGAGACATAATAGTATGATTCTATTTGGGTTATCGAATTAAGGTTCAGTTATGTGGAAGCCAGAGTAAGAGCAAGCTATCACTTTATTAGTTTTTCCTAAATAGTTGCTTATTACAGAATAATATAATAAAATATTTCTATTACTTATTTTTCTATTTTACATTTTGTATAGCTCACAAAATAGTGACTGTATAAAAATTCATACCAAGTTACCAAAAGCATACAATTTCCAAAAATGTTCTGAGTTTTTGTTACATTCAGTTTCCAAAGGATGCCCTCAACTCAATAGTTAAAATTCAGAAATTCTGTGGAATTTCATTACCTTTGGTAAAAAGTATCCTCATTATTTTGTCTCCTCACAGTATTAACCCTGGTATCTACTTTATGTACAATCTGCTAGTACTAGAATGTCAGAGAAGATTGAGGCTGGAACGACAATTGGCAGATATTGCCAAGAAGCAGTGTCAGCCTTGGGCCACACTGCCACTTTAGTGTCATCTGTCTACACAGATGGGCAAGGTGAGAGCTCTGGGGCCTCCATCTTGGTGTCTACAGATGCTCTCTCAGATGGGCAAAGTGTTTCCATTTTGGGGTAAAATGGAAACAAAGGCCATCTCTAAGGAACCCAAGTGGCTGTGCTGTGGTGTGGTTGTACCAGTGACACTTACCAATGAAAGAGCCAGTGTTGGGGCTGGTGCTGTGGTGTAGTGGGTAAGACTGCTGCCTGCAGTGCTGGCATTCCATATGGGCACCAGTTCAAGTCCTGGATGCTCATTTCTGATCCAGCTATCTGCTATGGCCTGGGAAACCAGTAGAAGATGGCCCAAGTCCTTGAATCCCTGCACCCATGTGGGAGATCCCTGGAAGAAGCTCCTGGCTCCTGGCTTTGGAACGGTGCAGCTCCAGCCATTGCAGCCAACTGGGGGGTGAACTAGCAGATGGAAGACCTTTATACCTCTCTGCCTTTCCTTCTCTCTGTGTGTAACTCTGACTTTCAAATACATAAATAAATCTTTTAAAAAATAAAAGAGCCAGTGTATCCCCACTGTCTGGTTTCTGATTGCTGCTGATGTGGTGCCCCTCCTGAAAACTTGAAAGGGAGGTTTGGGGCCAACACCTAAAAGGTAGGGGTACACTAACACTCATGAAACTAGACAGGGATTAATTCCCTGTAATGTTTGTTATGTAGACAACACATGAAATTAAGCAAGATTTGAACACTTAGTGCATTCATGACTATCTTCATACATTCTTCAAAACTTACTGGGGCTGGCACCGTGGTGCAGTAGGTTAATCCTCTGCCTGCAGCAACTGGCATCCCATGTGGGCACTGGTTCTAGTCCTGGTTGCTCCTCTTCCAATCCAGCTCTCTGATGTGGCCCAAGTGCTTGGGCCCCTGCACCTGCCTGAGAGATCAGGAAGAAGCACCTGGCACCTGGCTTCAGATCAGCATAGCTCCAGCACAGCTCCATCCATTGCAGCCATTTTGGGAGTGAACAAATGGAAGGAAGACCTTTCTCTTTGTCTCTCCCTCTCACTGTAACTCTAACTCTCAAAACTTACTAAAAGAAAAGGATTAATATTACCATAAACTATGACTTAGTGTTTTACTCAATGTCAGAATGTGTGCTACTTCTTTAATCCTCAAGATAACAAGGCAAAGACAAAAGGAAAAAAATAGTGAAAACCAAAGAACTAGATGAATCTTTCTTGTACTCTGTAGGTGTTTACATCTGCAAATGCAGGGAGCCATGCTCCAGGATGCAAGGTACCAGTGTGTGGACATCAGACACTCTAGAACAGTGCTCAACCCTAAAAGCAACCATTGCTCAGCCTAACATCTCCTAAGTCAGGAAGTAGATGGGTTCAATGTGACTGACTTGCCCCTGTGCTGCTGCAATCCTGCTCCTGGGGCTTGCTGAGGAGAGTGGGAGTGGCTGTTCCTGGGGTTTGCCTTCTGGATCTCATGCCATACAGAGAAACGGCAGTCATGTTGTGTCCTTGTTGGGCTCCTCCTTGCCTGAACACTCTGAGCCCAAGCTCCTGCTGGGCTGTGCTCCCTTGCTGCAGTGGGGCGAGCTGTTCTCCAGTTTTCTCCTGCCAGCTGCCTCCTCCCACACAGCTGCCCACTACTGCTGGCTGCTCCTGTCAGCTGGAATACTGCAGGGCAGTCCAGGGCAGCATCTTCAGCCTCCATCTCCACCTTCATACTGTTATTGCTTAGAACTTTCACATCTTCACTGAGCTTGGTTGAGTCCATCTTCTACTCCATTGGGACGCCAAGTTCTGGGCTTTGTAGGGAGGGTGTGGGTCAGCAGTGTAGCCTGCATGCAGGATCTGGCTGGGGCCCCTGAGTATTTTCCCCTTTGGGGGTCCATGAACTGCACTAGTGCACAACGTGGTGGGACTCCAAGTGTCACTTCCCGACAAGGAAACAGGAGCTCTTCACTGCAGTACAACCACATGTCTGCTGCCCTTGGCCTAGAGGGGCATACGTGGGACTGTCGTGGGGGTGCACTGCAGGGGCCAGGGCAGACACCACCCCACAGGCCTGGTGTGGGCCTGCACCCATGAAAAGGTGGGGGCTGCAGCTGTGTATGCAGGGCCTGTGGGGTGGTGCCTTGTGCTCCCTGGAAGTCATTTCTGGAAAATATGTCTTCTCAGACTTGGGAGTGTGGCCCCAAGTGATGTAGACAGGCACATGGGTTAAAATTGATTAGATTTGTGAGCTGGAAGGCCATGCCTCACCACCCCACTGTGTGACCTCATGCCCTACCTGGCCACACCTGTGCACACAATGGCCAATCAGGTTAATTAACCATTCCCCTTTGAAAATAGATTAAAAGCCTGGGACACGGTGTGTCCACCCCTTCCTTTCCTTGGCATCTTGCCAGTACAGGGCCTTTGTGGCCTTGAGCTTCCCGGGTGCATTGTCTTTGGGCCACCCACCCCATGCTTCCTGGCCTAGGTGCTCTTCCATGTGGCTGGTTGCTGGTACTAGGTATGAGCCCAGATTTACCTCTCCTTTAGACAGGGCCCTCACTCTCCTATGCATCTTTCACACTGAATCACTGAATAAAAGCTTAAAATGTACTACGCTGCCTCATTCATTTATGCAAGTATTCAGAATTCTTCTCTAAATATTAGGCAAGAACTCACAGGGGCTTATTAATATTGAGAATTTATTAATAAGCATACAGTGATATCGTATGGCACTCCAAATTCTGGTTACACAAGGACCTCCTTTTCTTCCTCTGGTCCTCCCCCACTTCTCCCTGCCTCTGCTTTCCTCCTCCCTTTCCCCTCTCCTCCCTCCCTCCCTTCTACACCTCTGTGGGCAGCCACAGGTAATCACTCCCTTTGTTTACACTTAAACATATGGAGACTTCCCGGCACAGACAATTGGGCTAAGGAGATTCCGGCCCTCTGGAGGTATCAAAAGTCCAGAAAATTTAAAACTTTGATTTTCAGAAAGTCTGTTAAAGGTGCCAAGAGAATTTAGAGTATCTGGTCAAAATAGAATTCCTTAACATTTAGTCAGGGCAATTTTAACACTTTTAGACCACATCTGATCATAATGTTATTTAACATAACTTTCTTAACAGACAATAGAGTACACAGATTACTTTGGCAGAATATGGATTCTATGTTTCTTGTTGTTGAATAAACCAGAAATAAAAACCTTGGATGTAGGAATTAGCACACGAAATTATCACATAACTCAGAACTATTTAACAGAGTTAAAAAGAGCTTACACGACCTAACTTTAGAAATGGCAGAGTAACTGATTAAGCAGACACTGTTAAAAAGAGACGTTACAGTTTTTGCAACAACAGATTTTAAGATTTACGATTGAGACCATTTCCAGATAATTACTAACATTAGTACACATTTAAAAAAAAAAAACCATTGTTATAACAGAAGATCAAACTTCAACTTTAGCTTAGTGTAATTTTGGCATTAACATTTAACTTATAGAAAACTCTGTAAACAATGTTTTAAAATCAAACTTTTTACAACTTTTCATGACTTGCTCATACCTTCTGAAACTTTACACCCGTAGTTACTTTTCCATAGTTTTGAATTGTCATGTATGGACAACCTATGAGAATACATGCTGACAAACTTAAAAGTCTCTCTTATCAAATTTAAGATGTAAAAAGTACACATAATACATTTTTCATGTTTTACTTAGCACTGATGCTTACATGACTTAAGACACTGAGTTATTAATGAATACCACACCATTATCTGAATTAAAAGTCAAAATTACATTTCCATGCTTTTAAGTAACATGAGGATAACACCACTTGGGCAGCAACAGTCACTAGTGCATATTTACAACTTTGGAAAGATCTTCATCCTTAAGAGAAACAAGTTTAAAGCATATCAAAGACATGTAAAACTGAGCAAGTGAACCAAAGGGTGTTTGCATTAGCCCAACTTTCTGAACCAATCTGTATTGGCTTACTTTAGTTAACAACATAAAGGCTTGTATACACAGAATTTACTCTCATTTTTATAGGACTACTCTAGCTGAAAAGCAAAAACATGAATACAACATAGATTTGACATCATTTAATTTGAATTGACTCAAACAGCTGTTACCTTAACAAATTTAGAGTCTCATCCTTTGAGAGTTCCAGGGATCCGACTGGAAGCCCCAAAGTTGAAAGACTCGGTTTAGAATTTAAACTATCAGAGAGTCAAACCATTTTAGTCAAAAATTAGTACGTTTAACCAAGGCTGTGGGCTAGATCTGATTAGTGTTAGGTAATCACTCAAACATTAAAGACAGGCAAATAACGTAAACAGCTTCGCGTTGCAGTTTTTCCAATCAAGACTCATACTGGCAATAGAAAAATGCGAAACCTTCAAGACACATGAAAACTCTCATTAGATAAGTTAGCTACAGCAGTACAGAAAAGAATTGATTATCAGTGTATGAGCCCATTGCTTAAGTTTTTATTAACTGTAAAGAGAAAAACCCATCAAGTTGGAAAGGGTTAATGGATTAAGGTTCTTGCTCCCTTAGGTAAGGCCAGCAGTAGCCAGAGGCATTTCCCCTGCCTCCCTCCTAGTGAGGAGGTTATTGAATTGGAAATGGAGACTAAAAAAGCGGCCCTGGGGAGCCCTTTCCCAAGAGATATCTGGCTAAGCCTGCTTGGGTGCGGCAGGCCACATTGGCTGGAATAGAGTGTAGAGAAAGGCTGTGGTCCCTCATTTACAGGGAAGACTGCACACACTGGGGCCTAGCAGGACTGGCCATGGGGTTGGGTAGGTGTGCCGTTTCACCAAGAGTGCTGGGAAACTCCATAGTGCCTAGTCTGATTAAAATGGCCACCAAGTTGAGATCTTCAACCAGAGCCAGATCCAATCAGGGCTACTGCAACCACTCAATTAAAACAGATAGTTAATAGCGTACAAAAGCTTTTCAAGACATACCAGAGCTACCATAAGCTGCAAAGATGGGAAAACATTTATCAGGTTGGAAAGGGTTATCGAATTAAGACTTTTCTCTAGGTCAAGAGACCTGTGGAATTTTTCCTCTCTCTTTCTCCTGGCCATAGGTATAGGGAGCAGTGGGCCCATATGCATCACAAGCAGATTTTAAATCTTTTAACATTTTAAAGGGGACTGGATGGTGACTGGCATTTCTTGGCCATCTTCTGTATGTACTTTCACTGGAAAAGCATCAAAAAAGATTTTGGCTTCCTCCTGGCCTTGCTGTGCTGCTTTTCTCAGGGTTTGAGTGACACTCTTTTTAAGATATTTGGCAAACATTCCCCTTCTTGACAAAGGGATAATTTTTTATCATTATTTTTTTATAAATAATTTAAAGGAAGGGGCGGAGGGAGTAACTTTTTCCATAGAACTAGAGGATCGGCAGGATCGATTATCCTTGCCATCACAGCTTCTGGCTTCCTCAATTTTCTCATGTCCTCCCGATGCATCTCATCTACAAGGCCTTCTTCAATAAACCAAGGACATGCAATTTCTATGGTTTCTATAAATTGCTCTATTACTTTCTTTTTTAACCCTATTCCTTGCGTCTGCAATAATGCCTTCACTGCCTTTACTATTGGGGGATTTTTCCCGATGCTTGTCCCATAATGCCTGCTCAAAATAAATCTCCACAATTTTGGTGTCGGGTACTCACCACAAATTGTAAACCTCTATAGTCGCGACTCCGTGAATCCAGGTTCCTCACTGCTTCTCTAATTCTCAGGTCCCACGTTCGGGCGCCATCTGTGCCGGCCTGCGGCACGATGAACTGGGTCTTCCTGAAACAGAGAGTGGGAATGCGGGGACAAGGACGCAAAGAATGGAGCCAAGACAAGTCCTGATCAAGGCTCGTTTATTGAATAAATCCAGTAGTATTTAAACATGACCAGTTGTTTACAAGAAGGAGCACAAAAGATTTACATATCAAAAAGGCTCTTAAGGTTACAATAAAACACTTAGGTGATAAATGCAGGTTACAGGTGTGACTGATTATTTGTATCATCTCTTGTGAAAGGTTTAGGTTCCTCCTGCCACTTCCCGGAATCTCCCTAGCCCAATTGTCTCCATATGTTTAAGTGTAAACAAAGGGAGTGATTACCTGTGGCTGCCCACACACCTCCTCCTCTGCCTCAGTTTTTTGCCTTTGCTAGTAAACATGTTGCCTTTTTATGTTATTTTTCCATGCATAATTAAATCAATATATACATTTTATTTTGTTCCTTTATGCACTAGTGTCAAACTGTGTGAACATTATTACAGGGTCCTTTCTCATTGCTCTTCATTTTTGCAGGAATTTTTTTTTGCTATTTTTGGCTTGAGTGTTCTAAACATGCCTATAATAATTTACTGCAGAAAATAAAATATCCAGTGATTTTAAATTAATAATTTATAATTTATAAATCATAAATATATTTTATAAAAATATACCTTCCATATTTACATTTTTAAAATTAATGTGGGATAAAAACTTTTTATGATATTAAGCCATTATTCAAAAACATGATATTTTCCTCTTTTACAATGATATGTGTGTATAAGCTTCTAACACTTTATCTTATTTAAAAATTGTTTTTATTAAAAATTAGATCTTCTGTTCCATTATATCTTGTAATTGATGTATGTTGAAAAACACAAAGACTATTGTGATTTGGATGTTGATTTTATAAACTGTTCACTAAGTTATCTTGCTAATTTTAGCTTTTCCAAGATTCTTTTCATTTTTTTCTATAACCAAATAATTTAAATAAAATACTTTCTTCTTCTTCTGAAGCTATCATGATTCTAACTTGATTTTTTCATCCCTATTTCCGTGGTTAATAACCTAATAACAATGAAATGGTAGCATCTATGTCCAACTCTTAAGTGCAATACACTTTTGTTTCAAAATTCTGAGTGTATCAATGCCATTATACAGATAACTTATTTCAGAGTACTTTAAATTTATAAAACAAAAATTACAAAATAATCACATAGTTCCCACATATTCCACTCTCAGGATCCTTACTGCTAACATCTTATACTAATATGATATTTGTCACAATCAATGAGCCACTCATAGATTTCTCTATTTTTATCTCACAAGTTGTGATAGTCTGTCACAATTAGTGAACCAGACCAGTTTTGCCAATTGTTTACCCAACTCCCCCTATCCATCCCACCACTTTCAGATTCTGACACTAACAGTTATTTGTTGAGATTGAGGGGTTTTGGGGGTCCTACATATGAGGAAGATTTTGTTAACGCATAATCTGCCTCTAATTATAGGTTCCAACAAAATATATGATGTTCCTTAATTGAGATAGAGTCTGTATTCTCTTCCTCTGACTCTAAGCTACTATGTGAATGCCTTGACACGAGAGTACACTATAAGCAATGTCGTGCCAGTTTCTAGACCTGGCCTTCAATGCAATGGCAGCTCCAGGCCTTTTGAAGGCAGTAGAACTACTCTCTGTGGGCAATGCCTGGAGAAACCTAGGGAGTGAAGTGTGCCCAGCTGACTCCCAGCACCCTAGCCTCCTCCGTGACAACACACCAGTTATGTGTAAAAACTGTCTTAAACCTTCTAGATCAGCTGAGACCCAAGATAAATATCCAGTGTGATCTGTCAATGTCATGAGAAATGGACATATTTTCCAGTGAATCAGTGCCTGTATTTTTTGACTGACATGGTCATGAGATAATAAAATATCTCCTCTTTATGTCCAATGTCTGTCATTTTTACACATAATCAGACATAACGATATTATTTCCTTTTGTCTATTCAATGTAATTGATTACATTAATAGATTTCATATTAAACCAATTTCAGTCTGGATTACTATATATAATTATTTTGCTATTTAAAATTACTTAATATTTTGTACTCATTGTAATATTTCATAATTGTTATACATCATTTTTGTTTAAGATTTCTTTTTTGATGAAATGTTAATTTTTTAGACCAAATTTTCCTTCCTTGTCTATATGTGGATAGTATGAGATCATCTATTCTTCCAAGGATTTGCAAATTTCTTCTATTTCTTTTTATTGTGAGGAAGATATTTAGTTTAAAAATGTGGGCTTTTATGGTTTATTTTATTTATTTGAGAGGCAGAGGTAGAGAGAGAGAGAGACAGAGACAGAGATATCTCCAATCTGCTGGTTCACTCCCCAAATGACCACAACAGCAAGGTTTGGAAAGGCTAAAGTCAGGAACCTGGAGCTTCATTCGGGTCACCCACATGGTGTAGGGGCCCAGTGACTTGAGCCTTCTTCTATCTTTCTCAAG